GTCTAGGTTATTCTTTATTGAGGACAACCTTGACCAGGTAAGACCTTACTCAGTTCATTGCATAAACAAACACTATTATTCAAGTTCATAAAATCGTTGAACAGTAACATCTGATGCTTATGAGCCAATTTAGGGAGGATAAAAGTAGGGAGAACATGGAAAAAAAGAGGGTGAGAAAGACAATAAATCGTTATAAATGTTTGAAAAATTAAAAGAAATTAAATTAAAAAAAATATAGGAAAATTGCAACGGGCAGCAAAAATCTTTTATGTATTTCAAAAATATGTCACCTATTAAAAAAAAAGACATTCAAATATATCACAAATTTTCACTTATATCAGTAGTATACCAGATAGTTATATCAATATTATATCAAACACTTATATCAGTAGTATATTAGATGTATATCACATACATCATAGACACTCATCTCAGTAGTATATAAAATACATATATGAGTAGACAGATATACTACAGATGTATTACAAATATATTACATATGTGTATCATTTGGGTAAAGTTGTCATTTAAAAATTCTAACCTCTGTTTTTCTTTTAGTGCTATATTTAAACAAAGTAAATATGGTTGGTATTTTGTAAGTTTTACTAATTGTTTTTGTTATATTTGCAACTGTCTCCAAATTAAATCCACTTGTGCAACCGGGGCAACCCTTCTTTACTATTTTTTAGTTTTATAAAATAATAAATGCTATAAAATGTCAGCTAGTTGGGTAGATTTGTTGTCATTTGACCAAACCAACCGACCATTTTCGATTTTATAAATAGAAATAACCGATTCCAATCGAACCAGTAATTTGACTAACCGACTTACGTCAGTCGGTTAGTTTTTGTCATCGGATTGGTTTCTCAGAACTTCTTCCTTACCCTTAAAATTATAGATATAGATATATAATTATAGATAAAGGATTATACGTTATAGATCAGAAGATTAATGAAATTAGTTTCATAACTTTTTGATATTTTGAAATAAATCACGAGACTGGCAAGTAGACTCTCATACATATGTAGGATATGGCTTAATTTTAATTATATTACCAAATAAATTGGATTAATTAATTTTAAAAACTTAATTAATGACTAAAATAAATGAAAATTACATTGGTAGCTCAACTTTTATACATATTTATAAAAATGTCAACCTCTTTTGTATTTTACAAATATGACAAAATATTTGAATTTTTATTTTCAAAATTTTTCTTATTCCAATTTTACTCTTATGACATCTGATATATATCCGACGTATATCTGATACATATATTAGATATACGCTTGATGTATAGATGATATATGTCCGATGTATACCTGATATACGCTCGATGTATATCAAATATATGCCCAATGTATATCTGATGTACACCCGATGTATCTCTGATGTACTTCCGATCTATATCTGATGTCAATTCGATATATCCCTAACATACATCAGATGTATGTATTATTCACCTAATATACATCTGATATACCTCTAATTCATGATATACTAAATATATTTGTAACTGATATACCTATGTATATCTGATACATCCAATATATCTCTGAACATTTG